GTACACACACATAAAAATCATCTTCATTAGACAATCTTGGCTTGGATGTCATGATTACAAGGAAGGTAAATTGTTTTGTTTTTTAATTAATTATCATTATTGCAATTTGATGTTGTGTTATTTGATCCCTTGCAGCTTTAGCTTGGAAGTGTTTGCTGGGCCAACATGGTCTTTCCACTTTATTACACACCACATATTTTGTTATCTTTATGTAATTTTCAATTCTTCAAGCTAGGAAAACACAAAACAAACAGTGCTATGATAACAACAGTGCTCTGATACCAACTTTGTTAGACCTTGTAGCTGGCATTTTATTATACAAACTTGATTTAAGAAAGCTAGTAGATCTCATGCATTAATCATAAATGCTCTGTTACATGTTGTGAACTTCATTACTTCAACTTGTCTCATGCATTTCAGTATGCTGCTTTCATCAAGATGTTTAGGTTCCCTGTAAAATTTAATATTCGTATCTCCTTTTTCTCAGAATGATGAATTCAAATTCACATCTCCTCACCATTTTTTTGTTTGGCCTATTAGGCCCTTTGATCATATTAGGCTTTGGCCCGTTGTTTGCTTTTACCGGTCCTTGAGTTTGAGGGTAGACCGACCTAGCATTAAAACCACTCCTTAGCTTCTTAAAGTTTGAACATCTTCCTCCGTCAACTCTCCTCTTCAAAAGCTCACTTATCCTCTTTGCAACTGTTAAACCCGATACAAATGCAGCACTGATGTAGTCTTCGTTGAGCGTTCTTAGCTTGTTCACTGTCAAGGCCTTCCTAGCTTCGTAGTTGAGCCCAATCACAAACTTCTCCACTTTGGTGACTTCGTTGGGGACCAAAACACGTGCAAAGCGAGCTAACTCGAGAAACCATTTGTGGTACTCTACCACATACGAGGCCCCTTGCTTCAGATGGAAAAACTCTTCATCCATGCCCGAGCATGAGAAGGGTAAAAACGTTCCCGGAGCTTGTCTTTCAGAACTTCCCAACCGAACCCCGGTTCTTCTTGACACACCGGTCCCTCGTGGACCCACCACAAGTCAGCCTCATGACTGAAGTAGAAAGCTGCTAGTTCAACTCGGCGTTCCTCGGGGCATCCAACTATGGTGAAGATCTTGTCCAAAGCATGGATCCACTCTTCCAAGACCGTGGGGTCTTCTTCCCCGGCAAAGGTCGGAGGACGATGACTAGAGACTTGGCGGGCAACATCACGATTCCCGTTTGGCGGTGGTTGATTGTTGTTGTTGTAGAGGAGTGCATTGCTCAAGGTTTGCGTGATCTGAGTCAGATGCTGCAAATTCTAGTCTAATTGTTCGTTCGTGGGCGTGTCGGGAGTCCGTGCACGATGACGAGGCGATGCCATTGTTGAGCTCTACAGAAGCAACACATGTTACGGCAAAACAAAAGAACTTGCACACTTACACAGTGCCTAAACGAAAGAACTTAAACTAAAATAGAAACATGTAACGAAAACACATCAAAAGCAATAAAAGAACTCACATCCTCACCGCGCGTCCTAAGAATCATACACTTAGATACTTAAACACTTAAAGGCTTCACTAAGCATCTTAGAGTCTCAATCTAAAAGCACTAACCTAGGCTCAAACCTAGGCTCTGATACGAACTATAATACCCCTGATTTTAAGCAATAAGCAATGCAAATTAAAGCTTAAGTATAAAGATAAATCTAACCATTTGATTAAAGCTAAGCGGAAGCTAACAGTTTAATCGGGAATGTCACGCCACATCTAACTAAGAGCTAGATGCACATGCTAGTAAACAAGTACTTAAATATCCAAAACATAATATCCAATTCATAAAGTTCCAATCTATAGGCACACAGGCCTCCGTATCTAACTAAGGGAAAAAGGGAGCTATGCTAACTATTCCATCTTCTAGCGCGCTCTCAACGATCTAATCAGCACCTGTAAAAAAGGGGTAGCACCCGTTAGCGAATAATGCTAAGTAACCCACCACTACTCGTTGAATACAATATAGTATAGATATAAGGAAACCATTTGAGACTTGGAATACATAATATATAGTCTTTTAAAATGGGAAATAGAAACATCATAAGACTCATCATGGAACACTCTCAATCAATCAACCATCACACGATAAATCAAGAGATCAATACAACGATAATAACAATGGGATCATCAACAATACATGATAATCAATATCAACCAAAGGCAACCTCATAACATGAAGGATAACATCAATACATGCTCATAAGCAATAGAAAGTCAAGGCCAGGATCTCATTCAATGATATGTTCCAACCTTATGCCCAGTTCCAACCTTATAACTTCAGGCCAACCTTATCTCAGTTCCAACCTATACCTCCAAGTGTCACCCTATACACCAAGTCCAACCTTATCCCTCCTGGAGTCATCGCTCCCCGCCTGCATCCACCAGCTTATACCACCGATCTCATGGACATACGCAATGTCATAATAATATAATACTAATCATGATAGTATACCGCCAATCATGTGAGCAAAGCTCAGTATCAATACCACCAATCTCATAACAATCACATAGTCATTGGCATAGAGGATTGAGGCTCATCAATAGCCCAATCAAGGATCAACAAAAGAGTACAACATATGTACTAGATACAACAAGGGATTCAATCGTAAGGCTTCAATGAAAGACATGAAATGAACAATCAAGACCATATCACGATAACAATAGCCTTCAATACAAAGATTACATTGATTGGTGAATACAAGCTACCAATCTTCATTGAGTACGAATGAGCAAGCACATACTAGTACCAACAACATCGTAACTAGCATGCAAATCAATAGGATAATCACAACGATTCAAACGAACATCAAGACTTCACATTAATCCTACGAATCACAAAGTTAGACCTTTAATCATGATTCAAGACTTATAATCCTATCATGGATACTTAGGACACTGTTCTAGACGTACGAAACATCAAATGAGACACACAATTGCACAACGATTCAATAAAACGGAGGCCAAATCATCACGTACCAGTGGGCGAAACGGTGGGTGGGCAACCACCCGCCACTCTCCCATAACAGGTACCAGCGGGTGGAACCACGGGTGGACCTCCACCCGCGGCACCCCCCGCTGGTAACACAGCTACCACCCGCGGGTGGATCGGCGGGCAGACACTGTACCCTCAATAATTCCCTTCGGGGAAAAACATCAACAAATCCAAGTTCAAGACTAAAACACACAAAGGTCTTGTTTGGTTATCAGCGGTTAGCGGTTAGCGGTAGCGTGTTGTGTTAGCGGTTATCCGATAGCGGATAATATTAGCGGGTTTGACCAGCAGATTGTATCAGCGGTTTATAAAAAAAACGTTTGGTAAAAATTAGCTGTTTAGATTAGTGGTTAAAATGTAAAATGACCTATAAGGGTATACATTATAATAATTAATAATAATAATAATAATTTAAAAAAAAAAACAAAAAAACAAAAAGAAAGATGTTGTTCCCCTCTTGTATTCCCACTTTTCCCACCGTCCAACATCGGTGCGAAAAGTGGGAATGTAGCCTTGATGCTCCTATTTAAGGAGCCTTAAGGCTCCAGAAATTCGTTGCCCATCCTAGATGGGCAACATTGAGGAGCTGTTTTGGCTCCTCAAATTGAGGAGCCATTTCGGCTCCTCATATAAAAGTTTAAGTTGTTTTTTTTTTTTTTTTTTTTTTAAATATAAACAGGGGCGTTTTGGGGAAATTTTTTGGGAAAAATTAAAATTTCCCCAAAACGCCAACTGCAAACACTGCTTGAGCAAACCGTTGCTAACCAAACTATTTTTTTTTGGCGGTTTGACATGGTCAAATTGCAAAAAATGGCGGATCCGCCAATAACTAAACATGGCCAAAATCTCACATTCAACAAGAAAGGGACTTGAACACATGAATAGCCTAACAAATAGCATTTATGAACCCAAGATACAAGCTCTAAACATGCATAAACACAAGATTATGCATCAAATCACTCATGAACATCAAGAACATCAATAGAACATCAAGAATCATCATAGCAAGTATAAAATAGTGAATCATCATAGCAAGTATAAAATAGTGTAGAACATGAGTTACCTCTTGTAGCCTAAATAGTCCTTCAACCCCTAGACCTCCTCTTGGGGCTCTTCCTCTACAAAGTCTTCCCAACACAAACCAAAACCACACAAACAACCAAGACTTAGATAAAGATAAGGAGAAACCAACTAAAAATACTATCTAAGCTCAAGTCTTACCCCTCCTAGGGTCTTGGTGAATGAAAGTTAGAATCTTGGAGGATTTCTTGCAAGGTTGAGGGAAGATTTTAGTTTAGCTTGGAGAAGAAGCTAAACCTCTAGAGAGAAGGTAGAGAGTTGTGTGTTTCTTGCTAATTGTGGGAAATGTAAGAAAGTCTTGTTAGGGTAAGACTTGGATACCAAGTAATTAAGGTGGAAAATATTAGAATGTCCTCCCTTATTCTTCAAAAAGGTTAGGAAGACATTAAAAAATTAGGTACAAGGCATAAAAGAGACTCGGCAGGGAGAGCAAGACGACGGAGGTCGAAATACAAAAGAAGAGAGAAAAAGCCTCACCACCCCTCCCATCTTCATACTTCAAACCCTAATCAAACATTTAACCTTCTATCTTACTACGAAATATAGATATAGATTTGGTTCGTATCCAGTGTTGCAAAAATCGCGCCTAGACGCCGATTAATCAACACCTAGACGCCCTACGCGGTCCCCGAGAGGACGCCTAGCGATTTTTTCAACATTGTTCTTATGTATATAATTTCTGTGGTAATTAGGAAACCTAAAATTATCTACTCAGAACAATCGAATTGGTCAGTTTTGGCCTTGACGTTGGTTGGAATTTCAGATTCATACCGGCGCCCATTGCCCTACTTCCGAGGGCAATTATCGACTCTCAAATCTGCCATAGCTTAGCTCGAACCGTGCGCAGTACCTGTCTCCGCAATGGACGACCTGGATGTGTTGGCCCGAGACTTTGGTTTGCGACCTGGCGGAAAATCGACTCCCATGAGATCCGGCGCCGGTGATCGCCGGCCAGCTTCCTCGTTGGTCATAAAACGGTAATTATTATTCATTTATACGTGAAGTAGGCAACATAACACACACAAATGTGTTTCCGCAAATTCTCGTCAACATCGTCTTCCATCCAATCCGCCATAGCCTGCTGCATTCGATCTCTTTCCAGCTCCCCACTCCCGTGCATCTTCCGAACCCAGCACTTCCACACCACCAACCATGTCAAAGAAGCAGAAGAAGAACAGCAAGGCCGGGAACTCGAAATTGATCAACACACTGTTACAAACAGAGCCTACTGGACTAGGAAAATCCACAAGCTCTGCGCTTTTGACCGCAATGTCGACGAAGCTCTTCGCCTCTTCGATCAACTCCGTCTCTACGGCTACTGCCCCGATTCCCTCAATCTTAGCAGCGTTATTCATGCTCTGTGTGATGCCCGCCGCTTCCCCGAAGCTCACCGGCGGTTCTTTCTTGCTGTTTCCGCTCATTCTAACGTGAATGAGAGGACTTGCAATGTTATCATTGCTCGCTTGCTCGATTCGCGGAGCCCTGAATCAACCCTGCATGTTATTCGCGCTTTATTTCGCGAAAAACCTGAGTTTGTACCTTCTTTGATGAACTACAACCGTTTGATGGATCAATTTTGCGCTTTATCAAGGCCTAGAGATGCGCACCAGGTGTTCCTTGAAATGAGAAACAAAGGGCACTGTCCCAATGTTGTTTCATACACGACTCTGATCAATGGTTACTGTGGAGTCGGGGAAATTGGTGACGCTTGGAATCTGTTCGATGAAATGTCTGAGTGTGGAGTGAGTGCTAATGCATTTACCTACAGTATTTTAATTCGCGGGGTACTTAGAAAGAGGGACATTGAGAAGGGAAAAGCATTGATTGGGAATCTTTGGGAGGTAATGATTGGTGAGGAGGATATGCATGTTAATACTGCAGCATTTTCTAACGTGATTGATTGTCTATGTAGAGAAGGGTTGTTCCATGAAGTTTTTAGGATTGCAGAAGATATGCCTCAAGGAAAGTGTGTAGTTGAAGAGTTTGCTTATAGTCAAATGATTGATTCACTTTGTAGGTATGGGAGGTACAATGGGGGTGCTAGAATCGTTTATATAATGAAAAAGAGAGGATTCAAGCCAAGCTTAGTAGCGTATAATACAATCGTACATGGAATTTGCAGAGAATGTGACTGTTTCAGGGCTTATCAACTATTAGAAGAAGGGATTCAGTTTGGATACTCTCCCTCTGAGTTCACCTACAATCTCTTGATAGAGGGTCTTTGTTCTGTATCTGATCTTGACAAGGCCAAGAACGTTCTGAATATCATGCTAAATAAGAAAGTTGTAGATAGAACTAGGATTTACAATATATATCTGAGAGCTATTTGTCATACTGATAATCCAACCGAGCTGCTGAACACACTTGTTACCATGCTTCAAACACAATGCCAACCTGATCTTATAACCCTTAATACCGTGATCAATGGTTTCTGCAAAATGGGAAGAGTTGAAGAGGCTCTGAAGGTGCTGCAAGATATGATGAGTGGGAAGTTTTGTACCCCTGATGCAGTGACCTATACGACAGTCATAGGTGGTTTGCTGGAAGTTGGGAGGGATGAAGAAGCTCTTCAACTATTGCATAATACAATGCCTATGAACGGCATTACTCCCGGTGTTGTGACCTACAACACTACTCTCCACGGGCTCTTCAAGATGCATAGGGTTGATGATGCCATGGAGATGTTCAACCGCATGATCAGCCACAGCATTGCTGCTGATTGCACAACTTACACTATTATAATTGATGGGTTATTCGAGTCAAAGAGAATAGATGAAGCTAAACGCATCTGGGATGACATTGTATGGCCTTCAAGAGTTCACGACAGCTACGTGTATTCTGCCATTCTTAAAGGGATCTGCCGCTCAGGAAGAGTAGAAGAAGCCTGTGACTTCTTATATGAGTTGGTAGACTGTGGGGTTACTCTGTGCCATGTGAATTACAACATTGTCATTGATGGTGCTTGCAAGTTAGGGTTGAAGAAAGAAGCATATCAGATTCTTGGAGAAATGAGGAAGAATGGGCTTGCTCCAGATGCTGTAACATGGAGAATTCTGGATAAATTGCATGGAAAAAGAGGAATGCAATTCTGTGACTCTGAGGATTTAACCCTGCAATCCCAAGAACCACTAGTGAATTGAATCAGTGCAAGAATTTGCAGGTCAGTGTAATCTCTGTACGGTTGATTTCCTATATTAGACTTTAGAAAGATCAACACATGAATGTAATGTAGTAATTAAATAAAACTAAAAACTAAAACATTTTAGTCCATTAATTTAATAGGCACCCCGGATAATTCTGTTCCTCAATTTATTAATGTACTTTCAATAATTCTGTGAAGAAATGGTTTGCTTTTTTTTTTTCCTTCTCATTTTTTCATTTTTTAATTAATTAAATATATTCAGATTGTGTGACGATGTTATATTCTCAACGTTAAAGTATTAAGTAATTTCTTTTTCTATGATGCACAAAAACTTTCAAAAATAAACCTCTTTTAAAAAAAAAAAAATTATTTTGAAGAACATTTCTTTTCAAGAAACTTACAAAAACTTCAGCCTCTCTAGCCAACTCCCAAAGCAACATAATCAAATTCCTAACCATTTACTCAGCTGAGAGCCTCTCTAGCTAACTCCCAAAGCTCCAGCCTCTTTAACTAAATAATTACCTTTCCAGGCAATACATTTTGCTGCCATGAATTCTCCTTCCTCATTCGGATTACACAGCCGATACCCCATCCATTTTCGAACTGTGTTGAAGGCTCCATCCACATTCAACTTCACCCGCCCTTCCTGAGGTTTCTTCCATTTACTCACTGCCTGTGACTGGTCATGAGCGCAGTGGTTATATCTAATATGATTTTATCGCCAATTAAATAGCATGCTCCGAGCTCCTTCAACAATAGCTTGGGGATTCATTAGGAGATTCTGTCATAATTTCATTTTTCTAGCCTCCCATATGTAGTTATGTACCAACAGACCATAATCATTAAGCAATTCTTCTCTTCATTCAACTTTGTCAAGTTTAAACTTCCCAAAGCCATCTAAATCCACCCTGGTCCAACACTGTTGGAAATGTTCGATTTTCCGACCGCCCTAAAATGGTCGGAAAAAGTGACTTTTTTCCAATTTTTCGTCAATGGATTGCGGAGGATGGAAATACCAACCAACAGATAAAAATGGTTTGAAATTTTTTGGACAATTTGAATTTTTGAATTGATTTTTCTTTTCCGACCACAAAAAGTGGTTGGAAAGACCTTTATATATAAAAAGAAGAAAGAAAAAAGATCAACTTCGCTCAACACTCTTCTTGCTGCTCAACATTCTTCTAGCTCACAACTTCGCTCACCAAAATTAAATCTATTGCCGTTCCTCCACCAACTCCATCGCCCTCCACAGCAAAGCTTCACCGTCGCTCGTCGCTGTTGCTGTTGTTTCATACATCGCCGTCTTTGCTACAAGTTAGTTCTATTACTCTAAATCTTAAATTCTAATCCCTAAATTCATAATTTCATTTATCCCTAAATCCTAAGTTCATTAAGCCCTAAATCCTAATATCCCTAAATCTTATTCGATTGTTGAATGTTGGGAGGTGATGGTAGAGATTGAACACTTTTCCTCAGTAGCACTTGTATATTTGGATTGTTGAATGTTGGGAGGTGATGGTGCCTTTAAATTTGGGTATCTTCTGCTGGAATAGACAAGTACTTGTAGTGTTCCACAGGAGCACCTTATTGGCTTTTCTTTCTTCACTAATAATATTCTGTAATGGAATCACTGTTTTGAATGCACTTATCTTATTGTTGGATAGGGGATGATGGTTTTCCATGATGTTTTTGATAATGAACATGAAGTTGCTGGTGCTAAAACATGAAGTTTCTTATAAAATTATTCCCAAATGACCTAATCTATTATCTTTTGATTTGCAGTGGCAAAGGAGAGTTTGGCCATGAAGATGAGTATGTGTTGTCAAATCCTTATCACTTGGTAATTGCTTGGATATCTACTTGTGCGTTTTTACAATGGTTTTGTGCAAAGTATTGTTTAAAAATGGTGGTTCTAATGTTGCTTAATTTTAACGGCAAGCTTATTTCTTCAATCTTGTGTACTAAGCCATAATTCTGATACTTACTTTATTCCTTCAATCTTGTGTACAAAGCCATAATTCTGATACTTAAGTACTGTGGTTACTAGCTGTGTGCATGCCTTATTGATCGAACAATAAAATTCTAATGAGTAATGACAACTGCCCCTTCCCTAATATTATTGATTGAACAATAGAATTCTAGATGCTTAGTTTCTTGGATCCCTTCAGAAAGTATCATTTGCTTAGCCCACTGCAGGTGCTCTGTAGAGCCAACAGTAAGTTGTAGGATATAAGGGGAAGGGAATCTTGAATTCTAATGAAACCCTTGCATGGTTTAGGCAAGCGGTTTGAGTCAAGTGCCAGTTAGAGAATGTCGGCAAGAGTAAAAATTTTTAAGTCACTGACTCGATCTCTTTTGGAAAGTTACTTTGATGAAATAGAGTATTCTTCCAGATAGGGGGTTCTAACAGTAGTTATTCTGTAAGGGAATAGAAGTAGCAGAAAAGGGGATTGAGGCTGCAGAGAAAGGATTTATCAAGGGAATAGAAGAGAGTGAAACAACGGTGAGGCTTTCTTTCTTAGATTGTAGTCTTCCTGGTTTAATCGATTCATTTTTATATTGTTAATTTCTTTATAGTGGTTTACTTTGATTTCCAGTCTCTTGTAAGGCTTTCTTTGTCAGGCCACCATTGTTTACTTTATTGATGGTTCTTCATTCAGAAAGAAGGGCTTTGGAAGCAGCAAGCCAGCAATGGCTGTTCCCGCTCTCCTGAGGAAAAGACAGAAGAGCTGGAGGAAGCCAGAGGTGAACGATGCTCGGCCTTCCAGGTTGGTGAAGCAGGCCTTTCTTTGATTCTAATTGTTATCCATATTTTATATATACTACTGATATTGTGATGAATTGCCATATAGTTTAGTTCTTAATGTAGTTTCTTGCTCTAGTAATTTTAGTTATTTCTCTGAAAGCATTTGATTATTAGCATTTACCTGTAAGCAAGGTTGCAAAACTCGGCCGCCTAGCCGCCTAGGCGCTAGGCGGCACCGAGCCTTAGAGTTTTGGCCTAAAGGCGGCCAAAACTCGGCCGGCCGCTAGGCGGCCTGGGCGGCCAAACTCGGCCAACTCGGCCGAGTCGGTCAACTCGGCCAACTCGGCCGATTTTGACCGATTTTGACCGATTTTGTTCGATTTTGACCGATGTCGTCTTTCATTAATTATTGATTTTAATATTATTATGACATTATGACTTATAAATTATCATTATTTCATTTATTTAGATGTGTTATTTGAGTGAACGTTGAAAACAACCTCATTAAAATTGTCGAACTACAAGTCTGTTACTATTTTTTAAAATTTTTTTGGTGCCTGCCTAGCACCGCCTAGAATCCGCCTAGGCGCTAGGCGCTACCCGGCCGCCCGACTAGCGCCTAGCGCCTACTGCAGGTAATCTTATTGTTGCTGAATTGTAGTATGCTATTGGTCTTTATGGCTTACTATTACTACTCTATAACCCCATATCAAAAAATATGTAAGCCAACCACAATTGCATTACTATGTCTAAATCTGTGTAATTCTTTTTTTTTTTTTTTGAATGAAATCTGTGTAATTCATATATAATGTATTTGAAAACTAGTTTGTCTTTGCTTTAAAAAGCCATAATTTTCTCTCCAAATCTTAAAAGCTTATAATACTCCAACCTCATTTTGGTTTATTGTATAGTGAGAGTATATGTATGTATGTATGTTTGTGAATTGTGATTTCTTGCTTTGATTGATCCCTTATAGAGCTAAGTGCTCAAACACCCCAAGTAGAAGCTTCCTTTGAGTCATATATAACCCACCCAAATCACTCACTCTCCCAAATTCAAATGAATACTCTAGCAGGCTTAGGCATCTTGTGTGTTTTTTGAGACAGCAGTGTGTATTACAGATTGCTTTGCATTATCTTGACTGTGATGGCTGTTTCTATAATTATAATGAAGTGTGAGAGAAAGGTGTTTTTATATTTAATTAGTCTAATAAGTTGTCTCTCTCTACTTTCTTAAGAATGCAGTTGATGAAGCAGCTTGTGGATACCCACCCAAAGTGGTCGGAAATTCAATGAAAGTATGCATGCAAATATGCAATATGTTCTCCAAGTTGGAGATACAATCCGGGTCCGGAGGAGGACATGATACTTTTTTCATATTGGCCTGTTTGGTTAATGGTTGTTACTGTTAGCTATTAGCTATTAACTGATTGGATTAATTAGAGGGTATACCTAGTTGATAATCTTAGTTGATTGTACAAAGTGTTTGGTAAATTAGCTGTTAGCTGATAGCTGTTTGGTATAATTTCTTTTCTCAAAAAATTAATTGAAAATGATGTTTTGAGTAACTTTTTGAATTTTAACATTTTGAAAGTTGATTTTTTAACTAAGTCAAACAATTAATACTGATCAAATAAGTCAAAATTGATTGATATGCTAATATTTTACGAAACAGGGCCATTAAGTTTTCACCGAATATTCAACTTTCTCTTCCGATCCTCCTGGTTCCTTCCAGTAGAGCGTATCAACAATTGTAAATTCGGTTTGATTATTAATTAAATGAATATCCATATTTTCATGTGGACAAATTTCTATTGGCAAGTTAAATTTGATTGGCTGAGATTAAAAACAGAGTATTAATGAGGTGAAGTTCAAACCCTATTGAAAACCTAATTAAAAAAAAAAAAAATCCTTTCACTTTTCTTGATAGGTTTTAGTTGAAATTGAATTTTGATTCTTTAGTAATAGGGAGTATTTTTTTTCTTGATTTTAATTTATTGTACTTTTAATTTTTTATAATAAAAAAATATTTTTTTCATTCAAAATATTTAAACTGCACTTAAATAGAATGCAAAATCAACAATGTGAGAGCATTTTGAGTATTTCCCACCATAAATAGAATGAATCAAAATTTAAAATTCCAGAGGGATAAGGATCAAATAGACCCTCCAACTATATACTAAAGTGCAATTAGCCCATTGAACTAAACAAGCCTTCAATTAAACCCTTTAACTTGTTAAAAATATGCAATTACTATTTTTAACCAGTTATCAAAAAGTAACAAGTTAATTTTGCTTGCTTGGCATTTATGTGGAATTTCATTTAATTTTTTTTAAAAGCTTAAATAAAAGTTGCCGGATTCAACCATTCCATGTCGCCAGATTCTTCCATTCATAGTTGCCGGCGGTGGATGAATTCGTCCGTTCCGTTTGACTATTTCGTCCGTCCGTCCGACTTCTCCGATCAAACGCATTTGTTCATTCGTAGAGATTCGTCTGTTCGATTACTCCGTCTATCCGTCCGTTACATTTGAACAGAGAAGCTCGCTGGCTTCTCTTCTCCTTCATGGAGAAACTAGCGAACTTCTCCGTCCAAATCTGGACGGAGAAGCTCTCTGGCTTCTCCATGTATGGAGAAGAGAAGCCATGACTTCTCATTTTGAGAAGCCAGTGAGCGTCTCCGTCCAAATCTGGACGGCGAAGCTTGCTGGCTTCTCCATGTACGGAGAAGAGAAGCCATGACTTCTCCGTTTGAGAAGTCAGTGAGCTTCTCCGTCCAAATCTGGACGGCGAAGCTTGCTGGCTTCTCCATGAATGGATGTTTCTCTATAAGCTCCGTTCATGGAGAAGCCATGGCAGCAGGCTGGGTAAGTTGCCAGCCTGCCAGTGCATTTTTTTTTTATTTTTTATTTTTTATATATATTTTATAATATAATTAATTTATTTTAAAAAATAAACTTAAAATATTAATTGACGTGGCATCTTACGTGGAATCCTACATGGCAGGTGACTTGAAGTTAACATGCTATTATAGGTCAAATATGTTAATTGCATTATTTTAACTAGTTTAATGGTTTAATTGAAGGTTTTTTTAATTCGAGGGGCTAATTGCACTTTAGTATATAGTTGGAAGGTCTATTTGACCTTATTCCAATTCTAAATTAAAATGTCACTACAGTAAAGTAATCAATAGTGAAATACATTTCATTTTATTATTATTATTATTATTATTATTATTATTATTATTATTATTATTATTATTATTATTATTATTATTATTATTATTATTGTTATTGTTATTGTTATTGTTATTGTTATTGTTATTGTTATTATTAGTAGTAGTAGTAGTAAAAATTACACTTTTTGTCACTAAGTTATAGGGTAATTGTAAAATTCATCCCTAAGTGTTGATCATGTTCACTTTTCGCCCCTAAATGATCATTGGCATTGCACGTACTTTCCGTCTTTTTATTAACTTTTCATGCTCACTTTTCGTCCTTAAGCTATACTAAAGTTGCGAATTTCGTCCCTAATATTTTGTTAGTAAAGTGACGAAAAGTGCAACGCCAATAATAACTTAGGAACGAAAAGTGAACATATATGGATGAATCTCTACAATTATCATATAACGTTGGGAAGAAAAGTGCAATTTTCTATTATTATTATTATTATTATTATTATTATTATTATTATTATTATTATTTTACATAAAAGTTGCAAATAGATATTATAGAATTGTCAGTGTCACCCTTCCCAACTAGCCTCGAGTTTTCCTTTAGATTTTATGCCTATCAATCATCCTCTACCTCTCATTACTAAGCAAAAAATATGCATTTCTTTTATAATTCAGATTTCTTTGACTTTTTTTTTTTTTTTTTGAAAGCCAAAAGCATTGGCATATATTAATGAACGAGAAAATCAATAGAGTCAGGAAGGACAAAGTCCCAATACAAAGAGACAACTTGATCAAACGCTACTGATGCTAAAGTATGAGCATGTAAATTTAATTAACTGATCTAGAGACAACATTCAAAGAGCAATAATTAAATAAAGATATTATCGTCCGGCACTGGTCTACTACCATCCCGACATAAGACAAGATAGTCGTAGGAGTCGAGTGCAAGGAATTTCGTAACTTTGAGCAATCTGTGAGGAGATCCACATCCAATTCGTTTCGTTCCTTAGCCAAGATAAAGCCTCTTTGCAAGCAAGTGCTTCCGCCACAAGGGGCGAGAAGCAGCTCGGGAGCTTTCTGTTTGTTGCTGCTTTGAACGAGCCATCTGGGTTTAGCAGGACCACGCCATATGTTCCTTCGCCAAATTTCTTGACTTTGTTTAACTATATCTATAAATTGATCTCAAGATCTATAAAGAATGTAAATTCTAAGTTGTCAAAGTGATTATATTCAATGTTCCTCTGTCGTCTGTACTCTTCTACCCACAAGAGATGATCTTCATAACACTTATTGGTCAATGTCCCCCAATGACTCCTTAATTAGGTTTTCAATAGGGTTCAAACTTTACCCCGCCGATAGAAGCAAGACTAAGCGTTGATTGGTCGACCATTTGAGTTACCCCGCAAAGCAACCAACTCCCCAATCCAAGTGTGCAAGTGATGCATTTATATATGTATCAACTTCATGTTTAAGTATTTTGGATCAAGTTTTCCTTTAAATAAGAGTCAAATTGTATTAGTATGACTTAATCTAAATCTATACGTACTAATTTCAAATTAAATAGTGAGAATAGTAAATATTGTGTAAAATAATTATTTATATTAAAATTTAGATTGAATAATATAATTTGTGACCATTGTTATAACTTATTTTGAAGGGTTATATAATGTTTTCTTGGTCCCAAAGATTGATAGAGATCCTTGGTTAGCGATAGATTTATTTGGGTATGATTCTTTGTCTAAGAATGATGGCGGCAAATTATGCTGTGCAACCGAAATTAGATTCATAATTTTTATACTATAGATTCATAATTTCTATACTATAGATTCATAATTATTAAACTTTATATTCACAATTACAAAACTCTATGTTCATAAT